TTTCTGGAGAACTACAGTATATTTTCAAACAAAGCAATGCCTCTCCCAATACAATCATTTAATTGTATTACTCTATTTTACTATGGGTTCAAGAATATTCTTAAAACTATAGCTGACAGAGGGGACTGGCAATCTTCCCTCTGCCAGTTTTTCATGTTCCAGGAAAAAAAAATTATAACTCCATACAAAGGTATACTGGGTGGAATCATAGGGTACTGTCTTTTGTAAAGTTTCTGAAGACTTTTACTTCAATCTTGTTCACTCTTAATAACCTTAAAATAAGGTTTAAAATAATGCTTTTGGAAAGAGTAAAAGCATAGAATAACATTCATATTACTCATCGTTTTGCCTTTCCATGCTTCATTTTCTCATTCTCTTTCTCTGGCTCAATATACAAGGTCTCATTTCTGCTACCTTTTAAAGGCACCAACAATAAACTAATTCCTTCCACTAGTGAATTGTTGGCCAAATCAATCAATCAATCAATCAATCAATCACTCAATCAGAATAGAGTTGAAAAAGACTTTGAGGTATTCTAGTCCAACCCCTTGCTCAAGCAGGAGAGCCTATACCATTTCAGACAAGTGACTGTCCAGTCTCGTCTTAAAAAACCTCCAGTGATGAAGCACTCACAACTTCTGAAGGCAAGCTGTTCCACTGGTTAATTGTTCTCTCTGTCTTGAAGTTTCTCCTTAATTTCAGGTTGCTTTTCTCTGTGATCAGTTTCTATACATTCTTTCTTGTCTTGCCTTCTGGTGCTTTGAAAAAGTTATTCCCTTCCTCTTTGTGTCAATTTCTCAAATACTGGAATACTGCTATCATATGTCCATCCACCCCCCCTCCCCCCGTCCTTCTTTTCTCTAGACTAGTCAAACTCAAATCCTGCAACCATTGTTCATATGTTTTTGCCTCCAGGCCTTTAATTATCTTAGTTGATCTTCTTTGCACTTTTTCCAAAGTCTCAACATCTTTTTGCAGTTTTCCAGGTGTGGCCTTACTACTTTTTTTTAATGTGATTTTGATTCTATGCTTCTGTTTATATAACCAAGGATTTTATTAGCTTTTTTGGCTGCTGCCGCACACTACTGGCTCATATTTAAGTGATCGTCCACTAAGACTCCAAAATTCCTGTCACAGTTACTGTTTTTGAGTTCCCACTTAATCATGACACAAAAATGCCCTATTTGTCTGCTTTGCTCCATACTGCTGTCTTCATCTCAATTCTAAGCCATAAGAAAGATTCAATTAAGAAACCCTTAGCTGTACTAAGTAATATTTTCCCACCTATTCCAAGATTTTCTAAAGGCAGCCTGGGGTGCATAAAATCTATTATACCATTTCACCTGTCATCCTGGAAGGAAATTAGATGGCTGCAAGGGCTTGAAAAAAAGACAGTGGGGGCTAGCTATAATTTCTAGGCTGCAAAAATCTAAATAATCATGATAGCAGAAGAAAAAATGATCTGGTCACTCACATTTTTGTAGCTCCGGACAGAGTTCAGTGACTTTTCATGCTGATATGAATTTCCTGATGACTCAAAGTTGGATAGTTAGTAGTACAGCTCTACAGCCTTGATTGTGTCTGTTCCTTATTTTTTAACACTGTCAACAACACCTTATAACTAATGAAGAATATCAGAAACTACTTTGTATTTTTTTTTCTGTTGTTCCTCTTCCTTTTTCCTATTGATTTGGCTTTAATTGTATTGGTATGTTTAATTAAATTCAGGTATCTTACTCTGCATTTACAAAGATGACGAATTGTATGGTGCTCAGAGTCAGATTTGAACCCAACAGCTTAAACCCTTGCTCAATAAATAAATGTAGATAAATAAATAAAGCTAACAATTTAAGGAAACACCTAGATCTCAATTTAGGCTATTTTATTCTTAACTGCTGTATAAAATATAATTAAATACAAAATAAGGCAGTAGTTTCCAAAATGGTAGCTCTGCTACTCTTCTCAAGCTTTTGATTGTTGGTTTATGGATATACCTAACTCTAACCCTAATTTTTAATAGATTTTTATAGATTAAGTCACTGTGCCAGATGCATGCAGTTGGTTCTTGTGAGAGAAACTTTGTAAATACACAATTACAAGCTGTCCTCAACTTACAAGCATTTGTTTAGTGATCATTTAGTTACTATGGCACTGAAAAAAGTGACTTACTATTGTTTTTCACACTTACGATTGTAGCAGCATCCCCATGGCCACATGATCAAATTCAAAATTCAATTGGGAATGGATAACTCTCAGATATAGAAGATTATCATTTTTGGAAGGTCATGATCTCCAATTAGGATGGCATGCCTTTCTATGGTATGATAAAAATAAAACTTATAGATATTTTCAAAGACATTATGTAAGAATGTTTCTGGTATGGGAAAAAATGAAAGCAAATGTTTATATGAAAATATCAGTCTGGCTCTCAACAATGGAAGCATTTATACATCCAAATGTAGTAAATCTGGAAAAAAAATTAACATATAAAAATATTTTGAATGTGGAAGGGGAACTTAAAACTAAACAAGAATTGCAGAATCAAAATGTTGACTTAAAATGGTGGCCGCATATGCAAATACGATTGAGATACGAGAAAGATATCAAGACATATGGCTTTTATAAAAAGAAAACAACATTTGATCAAATAATATTAGCAGTAGATGAAAAGTTAATAAAGAAAATATACAACTTCTTATTAAGCTTAAAAATGGAAGATGAACAGATAAAAGAGACAATGATAGTATGGGCAAAAACTTTTGGATACACTATAGAATTAGACAAATGGCAAAAAATTTGGGAAAGAAACTATAAGTTGAATATGGCAATTTCTTATAAGGAAAACCTGTATAAAATGTTCTATAGATGGCATTGGCCACCGGCGAGATTAGCAAAGATGTTTAAAAACATGTCTGCCAAACGTTGGAAATGTAATCAGATACCAGGCACATATTATCACATGTGGTGGACATGTGCAAAAGTAAAAACATTTTGGACAAAAATACATACATGGTTAGAAAAAATGTTAAAGAAAAGATTCAGAACAAGATGGGTTTCAAAATGAGCAAATTCATAGTTATGAATTAAGAATGTATATGTATAAAATAATAGATCTGTAGATAAATTGAAATTAAGAAAAAATTCTGATAACGGAAAGCTGTAAGATTGTAATTGTGATTTTAAAGGTTAAAAATGTTGAATAAAATTTATTTAAAAAAGAAAAATGTTAAGGCAGCCTATAGATTATAAACCAGAAATATTTTTTTAGGTATAGTACCAGAAAAGTAAGATAAAGGGAATATATATTTAATATTACATGTTTTGATAGCAGCAAGAATTGTATTTGCACAGCACTGGAAAAATGAAGAAATACCTACTGAAGAAGATGTAATTAGAAAAATACTAGACTATGCAGAAATGGGCAGATTGACATTAAAGATAAAAGAAAAAGAAGATACAGAATATTTTCAAACATGGGACTTTTTTTATCAATGGCTGAATAATAGAGGTAGAAATTAGGAACTGGAAAAGTACTATTAGGTAAGCAAATTGATCCAGACAATACACTGTTTACAAAGCACTTATGCATGTAAAGAGAAAATGTATAAACTGTTAAAAAAAAAATTCAGACGTTTGGCAATTGGCATGTATTTATGACGGTTGCAGGTTCCCGGAGTCATGTAATCACTTTTTGCAACCTTCGGACAAATTCAACGGAAATTCAACGGGAAAGTCAGATTCACTTAAGAATCATGTTACTAACTTAACAACTGCAGTGATTCACTTAACAACTGTGGCAAGAAATGTCATAAAATGGGGAAAACCTCACTTAACAACTGTCTTGCTTAGCACCATAAATTTTGGGCTCAGTTGTGGTCGTAAATCAAGGTCTACCTGTTTAGAAGGCGATAAAACAGAAAGAGGGGAAAAGTCTTCATAGATGTGAGAATAGTCAGACTTATTTGAGGAGATTTGAGGAAATAGGTGATATAGTCTAAAACCGTGATGGCGAACCTATGGCACATGTGCCACAGGTGGCACGCGGAGTCATATTGGTGGGCATGTGAGCATTGCCTTAGTTCAGCTCCAGCGTGCATGTATGCGCTAGCCAGCTGATTTTTGGGCCTTCCAGGCCCACCGGAAGTCAGGAAACAGGCTGTTTCTGGGCTCCGGGGGCATTGGGAAGGCTGTTTTCTCCCTCCTCAGGCTCCAAGAAAGCTTCTGGAGCCTGGGGAGGGTGATAAACGGGCCTACCGGGCCCACCAAACCATCATGTGCCACAAGCGTGGGGAGCATGGGGGGGTCACATGCGTATGCGCGGGGGAGCATTGAATTATGGGTGTGGGCAAACACACGTGCAACCCCCCCTCTGCTTTTGGCATGCAACGGCAAAAAGGTTCGCCATCACTGGTTTAAAATAAAAATTTCCCTATAGCTTCCTGAAACACTACAGGAAGATTTCCCATCTTTGCTTTTTTGTTCTTTTAGTTCAAAGAACATCGGAATGTTGAAAATAAACATCATTGGCAATATTCAGGTAGTACTTCTGTAGATTCTGACATTTTATGTGGGAATAGGCGTTACATTTTTTTATTGTTGCCAGAAACAAAACAGTGTTTTTTCCTGTCAGGTCTTTGGTCTTGGACTACATATATATAATTTGATTCCTGCCATTTCACACTTTATCACCGGGGGCGCACCTCACCAGCTATATAGTATTTGTCAGATGTAAATGCCTTATTCTCCAATGTGTAAATAATGTATATATGGAACATCAGAGGTTAACTTATTCTTTGGACTTTAATGTATTCAAACTTACCACTCCCATTCCTAGCTCCACCCCTTGTATATATAAGGAGCCACCCTCACCATTCTCGTTGCTTCTACCTTGAATATTCAGTGAATATAGAATGCCTATCATAATTAAAAGGAAATATATTTAAAGCTCTAACTCCTATTATCTTTATTGAGTCTGATCCTGAAAATATTGCAACAGTATTTTTAAAAAATCCTTTGGCAAGATGGATTTCTAGAATCCCACAGGTGTGGAATTGTTTTTACTTTTCTTTCTTCCTTTCTCCCTTCCTACCATAAAAGGAACTTTTTACTATTTTTCCAATGACTGTAAATCTTTTTCTCTCTCTTTAATTTAGGGGAAATTTATTTATTTATTTTTCTCTCTGTTCTTCTTTTGATTACAACTGTAAAGAATATTTCACACTAATACTACTAATAATAAATGAGTTGCCACATTTATAAAAAGCACATCACCAGTGCAAGAAGTGCCTGATTGGCAGCAGATACTTTAGCTGCTGAGAATCCATAGAAAGGGGGGTGGGTGGGGAGAAAGGATTAAAAAAAAATATTGTGGTCTCTCATAAACTGACAGATTTATTATGACAAAGCCTTGATAGCAAATTGCAATAAATCTGTTGTTGTTGTTGTTGTTGTTTTACATGGCTCAAATCTCTGTGTTATTTTGCTGCAACAGACTTGCCTTGCAACCCCTCTGGAATTTGTCATATTAAACACACACATACACACACAACAAATGGGGAAATTTCAGGCTGACAGCTGAGTGGATGAGAAGCTACCAAGGTGTGAATAGGAGAATATCTCAGTATTTTGTATTATCAAATTCAGGTAGATTTAGCTCCATCCAGATAATAATCTCTTCCTCAAGAGATTATTTTTCAGTTTGGAGATTCCTCAAAGATTGTAATTCCACTACATTTGAGAGAGAACCAAAGGAGATGTTTTAAATACTCAGGTTAATATAATTTGGTACGCTTCTCTTCTCTACCCTGCAGTGTCCCCTAAATATAACAGCCACCAAACATCCTTAAGAACAACACGCTTTATAAATGCATAAACACGGATTGATTAGGATACATTTCCTTAAATGCTTAGAGTGGGGTGCAGTCATCTGCTGTATACTGAAAAACAGCAAGAGCAACAAAAATTGGGAAGGGGCAGAACAAGGGTGGAATGCCAAAAAGGAAGGTCTGAAACAATTCAGTTGGAGTTTGAAATTATTGTTCCTATGAAGAGACATTTTCTTACACATATTTAAGCCTAAATTAAATTGCTTCAGACTGCACTTTTTGCATGTCATTGACACCGAATTCAAGTATTTAAATTTTTTATTTCTTTCCATCCAAATTAAAAAAAAAACACTTATTATTGGTCTGGTTTCACACACTCTAACTGTCTGTGTTTCTGAGGCTAGAGTTTCTCCCTCTCTGCTCCTTCCCTCCCTCCCACTCTCTCTAGTCAAGATGACATGACTGTGTAATCAAAACTCTGCCTTTGTTTTTTTTTTTATATACAGGTGCCCTCTTGACCTTTCAGATTCCCCTATAGATGCACTTGTTTCTTCAAGCTAGCCTCATGCCTGTCAGTTAAATGTATAATTATTTCTTTCTTGCTTTTCCTTGTTTTTGCAAAGAAAAGGACTGGACTTCAAACACACAGGCACTTTTTGATCTTTTTACCTAATCCATGGCACTATTGCTGGTGCCTCTGATGAAATGATCCAGTTTAATCCAACTGATGCCCCTCAATGTACCAGCTCCCATCATTTATAATCAGCACAGCAGTTTGCTTGCTGGCTAAAGATGAGGACACTTAACACTTAGCTTAACACAGTTGAAAGGCATAAAATTGGAAGTTCTTGTCATAGACATTATTTTCTTTTGGGGGAGGCAAAATTACATCCCCAATCTACCAGTGATTTACGAGGGGCATTTAGGACCCACATTTCTCTTCCCTCATCTACCTCAACTAATTTTCATGAGAATGGAAGAGACGTACAGGACGAACAGGTGTAGGGGTTGAAGTTGGCCTGGAAACAAGACGATGGAGGCTCACATCCTCCTTTAACTCACCAGATGGTTTTACAGGTGGGATAATTCTAAGTACATATATAAAAGTCACTTTAGGGCAGACATTATGTTTCCAAAGGGAATGCTGCAGAGACTTCTCTGGTGGTCTGTGAAAAATTCCCTCCCCATTGCTTCATTTCCTGTGATTTTGTGTGGCCTTTGGCTGAAATTGTTTTTGGTTTTTTGGATTGGATCCCAAAATCTTTTTATTCTACCAAATGGCTAAATAGGGGGACAGATATGTTAATTCTGGAAGCAGAGTATTTTCCCTTGTATTAGTAGTAATGGAATAGAAAAGTTAAATTGCATTAAATGCAAGAAAGAATGAAATGGAATGGAATGAAAAATCCACTTCTATTTCAAGAATTTAGAAGCATTTTCAAACCTCTTTTGGGTGGAAAAAAGGAGTCCCAGACTGGGTGGAGTTTAAATTGAATTTAAATTGAATGGAAATTAAATTAATTCAGTACAGATAGTATGGTGAGTTTCATTCATGTACTAACTTTTCCATTCTGACACAATCAAAATCATTACTCAGTGGTAGGGTTGTAAAAGAAGCAACTTCTCCCTCCCCCCCCCGCTCCTCCCGCAGCCTTCCTGGGATTCCACATCAGTTATTTTACACTGATTCAGACAAACAGGGTTACCCTTTTTGGAAATCATTTGTCCCTTTGGGGAGGGATAAAAACTGACTTTGTTTGACATCATCAGAGTCTGCCATGCAATTCCCACCATAAGGAAAGTCTTTCTGTGAGATGACCTTGGCTGCTGCTGCTGCCTGATTCAGCAAGACTCAGAAGTCTGCCTTTGGGAGAATGAAATACAGTCGAGTGATTCTTATGTCCCCTCACCATTGGAATCAGTGGTGGGATTCAAGTAATTTAACAACCGGTTCTCTGCCCTAATGATTTCTTCCAACAACCAGTTTTCCAAACTGCTCAGAAAGTTAACAACCGGTTCTCCCGAAGTGGTGCAAACTGGCTGAATCCCACCACTGATTGGAATCCTTGATGAGGTTTCTATGCACTTAGCCCTTAGCAGATGGCAGCTCCTAATTGACCTTGGCTCATCCCAGGAAAGCTACACAGGGTGATACCGGTTCATGGTTGGATGAAATATCATGAGGGATGGCCAAGACTGGGAAGGCTAGAGTAGGAAGTCCAAAAAATCCCAGTTGGAAGCAATAGGTAAACCACTTCCATATGAGGTCAAAGATGATTCCACACAGTCACTAGGAACTGAGACACCATTTGAAGGAATCTTCGCATTTTCCTAATTTAACCTGAACACCCAAACTAGCCCATTACCTCTGAAAAGTTCAAAGGCTGAAATTGTGAGGAATCTCCCAAAGGAAGAAACTTCACACCCAGGAAAAGAGTTCATACAGTCATTCCCAAATCCAACTTTTGTCAGCTCAGCATCTTCAGAACACCCATGAAAATAACGACAGGAATCTCATCTCACCCATCTCAAGGGCACCTCTCGGAGGAGACTGGCTTATTCCCCAGCTGTGGAAACCTGCATACACTGTTAGGAAGACGGAAAAGGAAAAGTGAGGAAAATAAGACATCAGAAAGGAAAAAGAAATCTGCAACAGTTAGGCTGACACTGTTGCAAAAGGGAAACGTTTGATTGTAGCTTCATCCGTGGCTATAGTGATCGCCATGAGGCATAGATGAGGCTACCTGTTTCATCTACATTGAGCATATTTAGATGCAGGAATCAGGTGTTATTCCGTGCTGTGATTCTTCGTGACTGTCTGAACAAGTCCCTGCATTTTTCTTGGCAAGATTTCAGAAGAGATGTGCCATTGCCTCACTCCTGAGACTGAAAGAGCGCAAGTGGTCCAAGGTCACCCAGCTGACTTTGTACTTAAGGTGGGGGGCTAGAACTCTTGGTCTCTAGCTTGATGCCTTAGCCACTACACCAAACTGGTTCTTGGTGTGCTATGGGGAAATAATAGCTTCAAATCTGAATTAGACCTAAGCCAAGTATAAGTAGCAGGCATTAATAACCCTTCACCCCAGTAGGCTTGTCTGGCAACAACTGGTAGCCATTCTGTTTCCCACAATGCTCCAACATAGACTTAGTTCTTGGCATTGGCAATTCCAATTGTCTTATAAATTCAAATGGCCACCTTCCCTTTGATGGTCTCCTTTTCTGGGGCAAATGAACAAGAGGTCATATGTTGGTCTCCAAATCCACAGGGGGCCACATAGTAATTCCTAATGACATCTAGGTATTAAGTCAGTTCTGACTACAATCGGATCCAGAGGATTTAGGTTTGAAGAACGCTCCCTATCTTCATTGCCTACCACAGGAATGTGCTGAAATGGCAGCTACTCTGTGTAAAGAAAAAGGTCAGGAAAATTAAATAATCAGGACTAAAAATTCAGGCCAAAGCACCAAGCAGATGATGATCCTGAAAGCTTTCAATGGGGCAGAGATATATGTTTTGAGAGGACCCTGAACCAGAAATGTCCATGGAAGAGAGTTAGTGTCAAAAAAGTCAAGAAGGTGGCTCCAGTAACATGATTGCAGTTGCAATATTCACTTTTGATTTCCAACACCATTGGTCAATATAGCCAACAGTAAGAGATGCAGTGGGATATAGCTTAGCAGTAAATGGAGAGCTCATCTTACTCACCCCGGGAACATCCCACATACCCAATTCTGTAACATTGCCAAGTAAAATACCAGAACTCAAACTTGACTCAGGACAGCATTCCCCAATCTTTCTGGCTTTGCAGACCGGGGAGTGGGGGGGAGAGGATGGTTCTGTATGAGTGACAGGCGCACTCAGTGCAACTCAGCTCCATTTGAGCAAGCAGGTGGGCACATGCGCCCATCACTTGCACAAATGGAGCTTCATGCATGTACACAAGCCGCTTCCACAGCCTGGTTCCAAATGGACCACAGCTCAGTAATGGGCCACAACCCAAGGATTAGAGGCCCCAAGGATTAGGGACTCATCTTTTTATATAACCCCAATAATTATCTTTGCTGCAAGAAAGTCAAGAAGACATCCTTCTCAATATTGAAAGGGTGTTTTTGCAGAAACACATCTGTACCATCATAGTTTATGAGTTCCTTGCTTTTAGCCCTGATTCTTGAAAAATAAAGGATCCAAATTTCTGAAGCCCAACAGTAATCCTGCTACATGCCAGAAATGTCTGCAGGACCCAAGCTTTAGGTAAAACAATGAAAGCAACAGTACAGCATCATGTTGCAAGGACCTCTATTTTCATATTTGTTTTTTTTTAACTTGCCTCCCTGTAGATGATTTTGCCTGGTTCCTGATGTGCGTAAAATTTGCACAGCTGTTCAGATGGAGACAGAATGACATCCAGAATACACATGGAAGTATTTTTGCTTTATAATACCTGTTTCCAGTCTATTTTTCCAAAGAGGAAATCCCAAAATGAACACTAATAAACAAGCATGCTTCAAAAGGAGGAAGGATAGAATTTAAAAAGAAAAACAAATAATCTATATGTAATAGAATATAGTTTTCACCTAACTTTCATCCACAAAATATCCCTTCTTACCACACCACTTTATTACCAAATATTCTTGACTGAAATTATTTTGGTTTTTAAACTGTAGTTATGAAATTGAATTGGCATAACAGCACAGATCAGCTTTGTCAGAATCTTCTTCCTAACAACATTGTGAAAATTTTAGAAGTTTAAAATGCAACCTGTTGTGTGTCTGCTCTTTTAAGAGAAAAGCCCTGAATTCATTTTTCGTAACTTGGCAGGCAAATGATCCTCCAATCTTGCCCCCAGGGTATGCAAGAGTTGAGGTCTCTGTTGGAATTCGAGGTTCCCAGTGGACCGAGCCAGGAGCTCTGATTTGGTTCTGAAGGCAGCCAACTTCAGCTTTTCACCTTCCTCCTCCATGTTGCAAACAGAACTGATCTGCTGAATTTTCAAGAGGTCGCCAGTGCTGCAAGCTTTCTCAACACTGGTGGAGCAAAGGCTTGGAATACCTCTCTGGAGATCCCCCTTCCCAGTACAAAGCTTCTGAAATTTGCTGGGAAGACGATTGCTTTTCTCTTCAAAAAATTCAAGACAGTCAAGAGAAGAGATCTTTTCCCGTCGACTCCTATGACTCCCAGTAGGGGTGTTCAGAGGTGATGGGAGAGCCAAATTCTCTTCTTGCTCTTTCACACTATAGGGAGGAGTTGGAACTTCAAAGGTGCCATGAAATTGGGAATAATCTACACGGAAAAAGCCATCTTCCAGCGACATTACAGGAAGGAACCTATGGCCCCAGAGGACTTCATCTTCTGTATAGGAGGTTCTGGCTTGGCATGTCATTCCTAAGAGAAGAAAATAGTAAAGGAATCAAAATTAGCTTTGTAAATTACAATGCCATTCAGCTTGGCTTTTCCAAGGATTTTTGTTATTCCTCCAACTCTGCTTTGTGGGAAGACACAATTGTCCTTGTGGATCCACCTAAAATGGATGGAGCAGGAAATGCAAGCTAAGTAGGGTCTACCTGGACATATCTATATTCATATTTCTATGCTACCCATCTCAAAAGTGTGACTCTGGGCAGTGTACAATAAAACCATAAAAACAGTAATTACAAAAATCACTCTATAATTAAAGCATTAATATTATTATAAAAAGTTAACAGATGCTTTAGATGTTACACGCAATTAAACCCATATATTTAATATATGAACTTCCTTCTATATTCTGTACTGAATGGAAATGGTAGTACAACCTCGGCAGGAATTCTTCCACAGTTCTTCCATACAATGACTACCTTGCCAACTTCTGGAGCCAACTCAGTCTATCACTTCCCCAACATTTTCCTTTAAAATGGGTGAGAAACTTGTGGCTCTCTACATCCTGCTAACCTGCATTTGCTTCCCCTAGTGCAATTTGTGTCCAGTTCTGGAGCCACTGGTCCCCCTATCTACCCTTTCCAGAGGTGCTAAATATCTACTACTTTCCTGACTGCTTTTCCTCCCTAACTTCCTGCAAAATTGCTGTTTACACAAGACACAGACATACAGGATCAGATTATTTCATAGGACACCACATTCCCATTAAAATACCCATTCTCTTTTTTAAAAAGTCAAGTTTGTGATTTCCAACATCTGCACAGAGAACTGACTTACATGTGTGTGTGGCATGTTCAAACATTCCTTTTTTCTTCTTCTCTGACCTTACAGAAGATAACACAAATGTGGTTTTTCTAATGCCAAGGAAGCACATCTAAAAAAGTAAGATGGGTGTTGCAATTTGCCTTGGCCAGAAATAATGTAAAGTCTCGGCTTGGGGAACTATTTTTAAGACTCTTTGAATTTGAGGAAAAGGAAAATCCATTGCATTTGTACAAGGACTCTTCCTGGAATTCCTTCTTGGCTTTGTTCTTTCCTCATTCTCTGCTCAGATGTGATATAGCCTGTTTAGCTGGATGTGACTTGTGTAACATACAACCCCCCAAAAGCCTTGAGCAAGGGACCCCATCAAATTGTTACTAAATTGTACTGATTTAACCTAAAACTGGGTGGACAGCCATGAGTTTGATTGCCTGTTTCAAAGGCAATCAGGCAGAAAACAAACACATTACTCTGCCTCAGTTACTCCATTTTTGCTGAATCTAAGATGTCCTTCCAGTTTGAAAGATGTATTTTCTGGAGGGAAAAAAAAATACAGTAAATTTTAATGCAACAGAAGGGGAAAATCATTAAATAAATTACTGAAGAAGAACATGTGCCAGCTGAACATAATTAAGCAAGTTGAAATGAAATGAAATGTAGCTTTTCATCCGAGCACCAGATATGATTTTCTAGTGGGGAGGACCAGGCACACAACTGTGTCACCTGCAGCCGAAAAAAAGGTTGTGTGCTGCTAATCTAATCATTCTGGCAGTTTTGCTGTATGGTCCCATGCCCTCTCTCATTAGGCCGACTGCTGCGAAGTTTGGTTTGGCTCTACATAAGCTTTTTCCTGCCTGATCTGGATCTGGACTTCCTTTGTGCTTACCTAGAGAAGACACATCTTTGTGCAACCATAATCTGGTCAGGAGATTCATTTGGTTTGGATGGAACTGGGGAAAAGCTTCATGTCTTACCCATTGTACTTGCTTCTATTATTTGAACAGAATCACTGCACTGCATGAGATTAGCACTGGAATTCTTTTTTCTAAAAAGAAGTTGCTATTAATACGCCTTAGGCTGTTCACAGTTTAACAAGTAACAATGAAGGCAGATTTAGGAATATATGCCATGATTCTGTGACAGCAGTTTGGGACTCTGTTCAAACAATATACAATTCGTGTGTAACCAAAGGTAATCCTCGATTTACGATCACAATGGAGCCCAAAATTTATGTTGCTAAGAAAGGCAGTTGATAAGTGAGTTTTGCCCCATTTTACGACCTTTCTTGCCACAGTTGTTAAGTGAATCGTTGCAGTTGTTAAGTTAGCAACATGGCTGTTAAGTGAATCTGGCTTCCCCATGGACTTCGCTTGTCAAGAATGTTGCAAAAGGGGATCACATGATCCCAGAACATTGCAACTGTAATAAATGTGAGTCAGTTGACAAATGTCCAAATTTTGATCACATGACCATGGGGATGCTACAATGGTGTGAAAAACGGTCATAAGTCACTTTTTTCAGTGCCATCGTAATTTTGAATGGTCACTAAATGAACTGTTGTAAGTTGAGCATTACCTGTACACATTCAACAGCTGAGGGCAACCTACATGCATTAATGCAATTTCCTTTTTTTTTTTTTTTGAACAAGTTTTATTAAATTTTTCTTTTACATATTACATGTTTTATGAATAGAGTATTGACTGGGTCACATCTTATACAACTTATAACCATGATGGCGAACGTATGGCAAGCGTGCCACAGGGGGCACGTGGAGCCATGTCGCCTGGCATGCCAGCTCACCTCTGGTGTGCATGTGTGCACCGGCCACCTGATTTTCAGGCCTTCTGGGCCACCAGAAGTAGGGAAACAGGCTGTTTCCTGCCTCTGGAGGGCCCGCAGGGTGGGGAAGGCCCATTTTTCTTTCTCACCTGGCTCCAGGGTCTCTTTATGCATCTGGGGAGGGTGAAAACAGCCTTCCCCACCCCCTCAGAGGCCTCCAGAGGCCCGAAACGATCCATTTTCCAACTTTCGGTTGGACAGAAAATGACATTTTTTGCTGTCCCCAGCCTCCAGAGCCTCTCTAGGAGCAAAAAAATTCACTTCCTGTCCAACCAAAAGTTGGAAAATAGGCTGTTTTGGGCCTCCGGAGGGCCTCTGAGGGGGTGGGGAAGGCTGTTTTCGCCCTCCCCAGGTACATAGAAAAGATCTGGAGCCAGGTGAGAAAGAAAAACTGGCCTACTGGGCCATTGTGTGCCAGGAGCGGGGGGGGAGGGGGATTGAGCTTGCATTTGTGGAGCGGGGTGCATAGAATTATGGGTGTGGGAACGCGTGCGTGCGAACCTCCCCTGCCCCCCTTCCTTGCACGCGATGGTAAAAAGGTTAGCTATCACTGACTTATAACATATTTATATATTAATTTTTATAATCTATTCCAATCTTCTGTTTTGTTTTTTCCAAATACAATTTACATATTTCAATTTCTGTCATGATGTTCTTTTTCCCTACTTTTTTTATCTTATCTTGATCTCTTCTTAATACATAATATATAAACAATATTATGTATATTATATACATAATATATAAACAATCTCATGCCCTTCAAATCCTAATTTCTTAGCATTACTGCAACTGATAATCTTATTTCTCCATTTATAAAATATATTTCTCAAAATCCCCATCACATTTTTTGGCTATAAATAATGTACTTCATCTTATTCAATTTTTACTTTGAAACCTTTTAACTTAATTGACCTTCCACATCTTATCTTAATCTCTTCTAAGTACATAATAAGCAATATCACTATCCGCCCTTAATTCCTAATTCCTTATTATAGCATCATTTAATTATTTTATTTCATCATTTACAACATATTGTTTCAAAATCCCCATCACACTTTTTTATTTTTTTTCAATTTTATCTCTTGATTTCAGTTATTTTCATAATTGAACCAAATTACCACTTCATATTTCATCTGCTATTCATTTTACAATACACAATATACATCATCATATTTACTTTTTACATTCACAGTTACTAATGTTAATACAGTTCCCTTAGATCGACTAATATATACCTTATTTCCCTTCCTCCTTTCCACTGTTCTTCCCCTTTTAACCATTTTCTCTTGGTCTCTCCAGAATTCCACTTCTTAATAATTTTCTCCCTTCATCACATTCTTTTGTCTTCTTCTTCCTCTTCCTCTTCCTCTTCTTCTTTTTCTTTTTATATTTATTATATTTTCTTCTGAATCCTTTCTCTAGCTTTTGAGTCTATTGCTCGCCTAATTCACCCCCAGCTTTTACCTAATCTTTTCCCATTTCTTTCTCTTCCTTTTGATTGATTATTTTTTGGAAAATATTCTCCCCATCCATTCTTTTTTTGCCACTGTAAATCCCAGTGTAGTCATCTAACTTTTTACCATCAATTCCTTTACGTCAATATTATTTTCTTGCTTCTCATTTATATCCTCTTTTTCCTGTTTAGTATGTTCTAACAAAGTTTCTAACTTTTTATTGCCCTTTATTGATTCACGCACGTTTTAAGCATCTCAATTAATTCCTCACACATCCAAGATTCCATATTGTCAATTTAAAAAATTATTGATATTTTAACTTATATTTAATTAAGATTTAAGTTCATATAGTGTCTTTTTTATTTCCAGATGGTATCCAATACAAATGTTTGTCCAATCCACTCCAATTTAAAGTTTTATTGTTTTCCACTTCCTTTAGAAGTCGAGACCAAGCAGTTTAAGTAGAAACAAATACTCCTTAAAATTTCTCACAGCTCTTGAAGTGATCAAGGTTACTGTTGTTATTTCTTTCAATTTTCAAGCCCGTCGTTGTAGTGCTTTCTTTCCACCAGCAGATGTTTCTCTCCAATCCACAATTCTCAGAACAACAAAATATCCAGCTTGCGAAAGTGTTTTAAATCCACATAGAAAATATTTTCTCTCAAAATTCTTTTTCTGTTATTGTTTTTAATTACTCCAAGTTCTGTTTTGAATCCAATTATAACATTTCCTTTCTTGAGTTTTAATACTTTAACCTCCTCTTTGTTCTTCCTTCAAATTTCAGAACTGTCAAAATTATTTCAAATCCTCATTAAAAAGTACTTTTCTTCAGGTTTCTTTTTCTTGTATTAGTTTTAATTTCTCCAAATCCAATTTTAAATCCAAATACAAAGTTTTTTTTCTGGGCTTTAA